GGCATGTGTGTACCATATACGCTGCTAAGACCTAAGACAACCGGGACACACAATTTTTAAAGTGAATGATAAGGATTTTATTGAAAATATTTATTAGAGCAATAGATATAACGGACCTGGTTTCACCAAAGGGGAAAAAATCGGTAGAATATGAAAAATCATCAATCCGGTCTGATATTACATATACAGGGTGATATGAAAAAACTGCAACCAACTTCAGACTGCTGTAATTTCTAAGCCACTCGTCCGTCAGCTGTTAAAATTATTCCCCTGACAGCTCATTATATTCTTTACAAGCGTACAAAAGCATCTTGTTGGGAATTTTCCAGAAAAAAAGTTATTCGTGATGGAATTCAAGCGTGTTAGTGTGATTTCTTTATATTTGGCTGGAAAACCACAAGTGGCTATCGTAAGAGCACTCCAACATTTAAATGTGAATAAATGTTTTGTGTCTCGTACCATCGCCCGTTAACGTGATACTGGTAGCGTAGCCTGACGTCAAAGAAGTGGACGGAAGAAAACATCAACATCAGTAGAAATGGTTCGAAAAGTAAAGAAGCGACTTGATCGAAACCCGCGTCGCAGTGGCCGAAAAATGGCTTGTGAGCTTAACATATCGCACTATTCCATTCGGGAAATTTTTGGAAAATGAGCTCGGGGTACAGCCATTGAAATTCCAAAAAGTGCAAAAACTTACACTGCAACGGAAAGAAAATTGACTCAAAAGAGCTAAAGAGTTGCTTCGCTTGACCGAAAGTGGTGAACTGCCGAATTTGGTTATCTCCGACGAGAAACAAACAAAATGATCGTGTTTACTTGCCGAAGAGGTCAGCTGAAAATGTGCATCTTCAGTTGGCCACCAGAACTCAAGCGCCGGCCATGGTGATGCTGTGGGCCGCCATAACAGTCGATGATCGCTCTCTGCTCGTATTAATCGACCGTGGCATCAGAATCAATGCCGAATATTATCGCGAAAATATTCTGGAGGATGTATTAAAGCCATTGGCACGCAAACATTTTGGCCGCAAACCTTGGACATTCCAACAGGACTCAGCACCATCGCACAGCACGCGCCACCCAAGAATGGTTACAAAATGAGGTTCGTCGCTTCATTTCCAGCGCACAATGGCCACCAAATTCTCAGGATACCAATCCGTTGGACTATTGCATCTGGAGTATTTTGGAAAGCAAGGTTGGCACTAAGAAATACCAAAGTGTCGATCACCTCAAGCAAGCGCTTCGCCGGGAATGAGATACAAAATGCCGCAGAGCCACATTCGAGCAGCGTATGACGGTTTAATTGGCCGTTTGAAGGCCATATAAACCGTGCCAAAGGTAACCAATTCGAATAAATCTAAAATTATTCTAAAATCTGATGCTATTTCCGACATCTTTTGCTTCTGATTGCATCTTTGGCATTTGACTTTGTTGCAGTTTTTTTTTTTAACTCACACTGTATACCGAAGCTATATAAAAATCTGAACCGCTCTCGCGGTTATTTTCGAGCAGTATCTGTTGTCCGGTGTAAAATACCATTGATGTGCAGTGAATATCACGCAAATTTGAAGTACTTATTTCTAGGACGAATTTAGTCGGCATTGCCAAAATTCAGTCCATTTAGGATGATATCATATCCATTTGTTGCACTGAAAAAGAAGATTTTGTACAAAGATATGTATGGGAGCTATATCCTAATCTGATCCGATCTGGATAAAATTTGAAAGAGGTATTTTTCAGTTTCATAAGTCATCTGAATCATCCAAATATCATTGTTGTCGAATGCATATTACGAATGTGAGGAACTTGAACACCAAATCGGATGTAACAAGTGGGAGCTATAGCTATATCTGAACCGATTTTCTCCAAGTTTGATGTACTTGCTTCTGGACTGAATTCGGTCGGATGTGCCAAAATGCAGGTCATTTGCACTGATATTGGCCATTTTGGGACATTGGCGAAAATCGGTTGAAGATATATGTGGGAGCTATATCTAAATTTTGGACTTATTCTCAGCAATTTCAATAGGGTTCGTACTTGGGCCAAATGAATATTGTTTTTAAAATTTCATCTCAATTCAACTCAATCGGATGGTCAGACGGACTGAAATTCATAAAACGACTCGTAAAGTGATTCTATGAAGATCATCAAAAGTAAGTATGGGTCTATCTCGCTTCCTTCTCCATGTTACAAACAAATGCGCAAAGACATAATACCCTTATCACTTTGTGGTGTAGGGTATAAAAAAGTCAGTGTTTCTCTGAGATCGAAATCGAAGAGCACAACATATATTGATCTTCTGAATGGTAACTACTCCTAGAATAGAATTTGGTCAGACAATATTGATATTTTACCTATTCAATTTTTAAGGGACATTTTTTCAAAATTCGAATTCTAGCACCTACATCGGTCCACCCAATGTTCCCCAATATTCGCCTTCCGTTTGCCACATCTGTCAAATGTGATAATTAAAAAACGTCTCAACTAGGTTCACTGTAGCAACCATTAAATGAAAACCAAATTGAAATTAAGCTTTTGTTTTGTTAAAACAGCACTACAATCTACATACACACATACACATATATGGCAGACAAGAAATTTACACGAACCGACTACTTGTTTTCAAAAAGGGGAAAAATGTAACAACTTATTTCATTTTCATTTTAGCAGGGGCAGGGGTTAGAGGGAACGTTGCAATAAAACATGGCGCAGTTAAGTTGTATGGTGTCGTGTTGTCGTTGTCAATCCAAACACCCGCAAAAAAAAAAAACATTGTTGTGATGATGACATGCTGCCGGCATGTGTTTTACACACAGTTCCAAAAAAAAAGAGAAAAAAAAAACAAAACTTGAAAGATACGAAAACGACAGTATGTGATGCGAGGGTTTTAAAAAGCAGAAATTTACAATACACTCGAAGAAAAAATTAGGGATTTTTCATGAATGTCACATTTTAGTTGGACAAGTAAAAAAGCTGTAAATTCGCCCGGGCCGAACTTTCAATACCCCCCACAATTTGGAATATTAAAAAAAATCCGTTAAAATCTTAAAAATACCGAATACCGACATGGACCTGCATAGTCATAAGCCATTACAATATTCAAATCATTAAAATACCGAATATCCGGAGGTACCGCTATATAGGGACTGTACGAAAACGTGGACCTGCACAGACAATTATCTGGCATAGCCTGTAGTATCCATTACGAACTTCAAATATCAAATTTGAAACAATTCCGGTGAATAACGTCTCTAAAGTTATCAAAATACCGAATATCGGGAGGTATCGTTATATTGGCGCTATACGAAGGCGTGGATCTGCACGGACAATTTTCTGTTAAAGGCTGTAGTATCCATCACGAACTTCAAATACTAAATTTGAAACAATTCCGATGAATAAAGTCGCTAATATCATAAAAATACCGAATATCGGGATATGGGGGCTATACAAAGACGTAGACCTGCATAGACAATTTTCTGTCTTAGGCTGTAGTATCAATTACGAACTTCAAATACCAAATTTTAAGCAATTCCTATGAATAATGTCGCTAAAATCATCAAAATACCGAATATCGGGAAGTATCATTATATGGGGGCTATACGAAGACCTGTGGACCTGCACAGACAATTTTCTGTCTTAAGCTGTAGTACCTATAAGGACCTTCAAATACCAAATTCTAAATAATTCCGGTGAATAATGCCGCTAAAATCATCAAAATACCGAATATTGGGAGGTACCGTTATAGGGGGGCTATACGAAGACGTGAACCTGCACAGATAATTTTATGTCATAGGCTGTAGTATCCATCACGAACTTCAAATACTAAATTTGAAACAATTCCGGTGAATAAAGTTGCTAATATCATCAAAATATCGAATGTCGGGAGGTATCGTTTATGGCCGCTATACGAAGACGTGGACCTGCATAGACAATTTTCTGGCGTAAACTGTAGTATCTGTTACGAACTTTAAATGAATAATGTCGCTGAAATCATCAAAATACTGAATATCGGGAAGTGCCGTTATATGGGGGCTATACGAAGGCGTGGACCTGCACGGACAATTTTCTGTAATAGGCTGTAGTATCCATTGCGAACTTCAAATACAAAATTTCAAAAAATTCTGGTAAATAATGTCGCTAAAATTGTAAAAATACCGAATATCGGGAGGTACCGTTATATGAGGACTATACGAAGTCGAGGAACTATATGACTCATTTTCAATACCAAAAGTCCTGCAGATAATAATAATGTACATTAGAGTTAAATTTTATCAACCTACTTCATTTCGTTCGGAAGCTAGTTTGATTTCCACGGACGGACATACATCGTTAAATCGACATAGAATTTTATGCTGATCAGGTATATACAAATTTTGGGGCGTCTAAAATGTATGTTTCTAGGTGTTAAAAACGGAATGACAAATTTAATATACCCTCCATACTATGGTGGAGGGTATACAAATTAATTCTGAGAGAGTTTAGATATATACTACTTCCTTGGGATTTACGTGGTTTTTAAATCGTTTATAACCGCAATTTTTATATTGATCATTTCGACGCAGAGTGTAAATATAATTTCCTCAGATTCTGTACAGCTTAACTCCAAATTCTCTCTCTCGCTCTTTGTATTTTTCCTTTCAAAATAATCAATCTAATGGATTTAACCTACATACACATTTCACTTCGAGTGTCTATAAATTGCAATACAAAACCATAATACTCTTCACCTCCTAATCCGAGCGATACAAAACGATTTAAGCGTACATACATACACACCACATGACCCCCCATTGTTGAGCTTCAATGTGAGCGCTTTGTATGGTTAAATGGTGTTTGTCACCATTTAATGCTGTTTAAACGCATTACAGCGCTGCTGGTGTTTGTGTGAGAGTTCGTTAAAACTTTTGTCATCGGGCCATGCAAAGAAAGAGAGAGATATTCAAGATTTTAATCGCTTAATATTAAATCAATGTCTTATCCACTGTTTCTCTTTTTTATTGCAGATTTCTCAGAATCCCGCAGCACAAAAATATCACAATCAAAAAATCAGCGAAGTTCAAACACATCATATGAAACTATTACAATATGAAAGCTCAAGTACAAATACACCCGCGGTGGCGGCGCCAACTGCAAATCCAACCTCCAAGCCACAACATACACAGTCAGAGTCACAGTCAATGCGGGCTGCAATGGAGGTGCTATCGAACCCCGTCCACTCCTCAGTTATGCAGCCAACAACGGTGATAATACGCAAAGATTTTCATAGTTTTAATTTTTCCGATATTGAATTGCCGGTGGAAAGGCCGACAGCATCGGTCCACTACATGCGAAATAAACATTTGTTGCATGACCTGTCACAGCGTTCGGTGACGGGTACACCAAAGCCACCCACCACCGAATTGGATGATATCTTCATTAGTGTGAAGACCACAAAAAGCTATCACGACAGTCGTTTGGCCATGATTGTCAAAACATGGTTCCAATTGGCCAAGGATCAGGTAAGTGGAGGAGGAAGATGTTGAAGTTACGTTTTGAAACCATCATAAAAATTGTTATTCCGTTTGGAACACCTGGAAATATTCGTGAGAGACCCCAAAAGGTATATATAAAAGAAGAAAAGAATTTAGCGATGTACGCCTGTATCTCAGTTGAAATCTCAATGGAGTCCACATTACTTAATCTAGAGCTATATTGATCCATGTTTCCACGTAGGTATCGGCCCCTATATAACTGTAACTCCTGATTTTCAGTATTTTGAAGGGTTTCGACACAAATTCCAACAAAATAAGCTGAGACCCTACCTTTAGGGTTCTTGGTAGGTCTGATCTCTCCCTGTAAAAAATATTCGCTACAGGTCCACAAGTTGGTAAAGCCCCAATATAATAATACCTCTCGATTTTCGATACGTTGAAGGTTTTTGCCACCAAATCAGCTGAAATTTTATATTTGGGGTTCTGGGTAGGTCTGTTTTCTCCTTGCAAAGAATGTTCGATTCTGGTCCACTAATTGGTATAGCCCCCATATATAGCGGTTCCTCACGATTTTCGCTTTTTTGACGATTTAGTTTAGTTGCTCTGCGATATTTTGGCCCATTTCCAGCGGAGCGCTTGCTTGAGGTGATCGACACTTTGGTATTTTTAAGAGCCAACCTTGCTTTCCAAAATACTCCAGACATAATAGTCCAACGGATTGGTATCCGGAGATTTTGGTGGCCATTGTGCGCTGGAAATGAAGGGAGGAACCTCATTTTGTAACCATACTTGGGTGGCGCATGCTGAGTGCGATGGTGCCGAGTCCTGTTGGAATGTCTAAGGTCTGCGGCCAAAATGTTTGCATGCGTAAGACATTAATACACCCTCCAGAATATTTTTGCGATAATATTCGGCATTTATTCTGATGCCACGGTCGATTAATACAAGCGGAGATCGACCATCGGCTGTAACGGCGTCACCATTGCCGGCGCTTGAGTTCTGGTGGCCAACCGAAGGTGCACATTTTCAGCTGACCTCTTTAGCAAGTATTTTTCGGCCACTGCGACGCGGGCTTCGATCAAGTCGCCTAATTGCTTTTCGAACCATTTCTGCTGATGTTGCTGTTTTTTTCCGTCCACTTCCTTGACGTCGGGCTACGCTACCAGTATCACGGTAACGATACTCAATTATTTTCGTATTTTTTTCGGAACGTTGATCCAAATATAGCCCATTATTTTCAGGCAGTAGATTGTTTGTTTACATTATTTTAAAATAGGTTATTTAGTTCTTTTAGCTTCCGATTTTTTTCTTGGCAGATACTCAGAGAAAATTTTAAAACGTATTTTTGTCCAAAATTAAATGTTTTTTACGATTTCCGACAAATACCAATTTTTAGGTTTAAAATATACTTAATAAGCTATGATTGGAATCCTTTTTTAAATATTTGTAATTAATTTTGTGCATAAAATTTCAATTCTCAGAAAATAAAAATTTCACAAAGAAAGGAAAAACAATTCACATACATACCCGCACTTAACCCATTTTCAAAAGGGAAAGTGGGAATCATAAATTTTATTTTCGTTGCCGTTGTTGTCGTCATCATGAAATCACTGCATCAAATAAACTCCTCCTTGGTATGCTGTAATAAAGAAATGAAAACTAAAAGATTATGGAAAAAAGAATTGCTGGAAAAACTCCCCCTCCGAATATTTCACACCGCACTCACACACACACACATTCACGCAACCTCATAACGGTGTAGGGAGTCTTTTGAGCATACCTTGAAGAGTGTCTTTAAGAACTAAGTATGTCAGCACTCGTTAGGGCATAAAACTAGAACTAAGTGAAGGACTATGTACTCCATGAAGTACTAAGAAGCAGTTTGGGTGTGTGTGTGTGTATGACACCCAATGCGACACCACCACGGCCGGCTACCACCAACTTCACGTAATCTCACATCATAACATTACCATGTGTAGGAAAGAAGAAAAAAAAAACAGAGAATGAAAAATTAAATTAAGTAAAACTAGCGCTATTTCATGAATGGATGACAATATTAATGAAATTCTACTGGGGGATAGATGTGGTGGGAACAATATTTAAAAATTTTCAAAATCCCTTGAAAATAGTTGTGACAAGATATATGTTATTAAACATATCATCTTGAAGATACCTAGTTGTACATACATTTATACACACATCCAAATTAATGTATCGCTAGAGAATTGAGGGGAAATATTTAATTGAAGATTTATGGTTATATCTTTGAATCTCTTGCTTTTTGCCCAAGTGTGGGAATGAATCACTTTAAAGTATAACACTTTAGGGTACAATTTTTTGTTTTTATAGCGTGTGAACGGTATTTGAGAATGTTTCCATTTAATTAAAAATATATTGATGTGGGAATTTATAGATTTCTTTAGCAGAAGAATTTAAATAAATTAGTTATTTATTACACTCTGCAGCAGAAAAAAAAATAGTTAGAATAGAAACCGAGTAGATTATGGAAGTAGAGTTTTGGAAAATATTAAAATTAAGATTTTCATGGATTTTAGGTATATAGTGCTTTCGGAAATATGACATATAAACACTCCATGAACTGAATGTGTCTTTTTGGTCCTCTTCTTCAACGACGTTCAAAAAATCTATTAAAAAGTTCCATAAAACAACATTTAGGGAGATGACGCCAAAGACATAAATATTCTACGTTAAATTTAACTATAAGTTACCAAAATTAAAAAAAAAAAATATATAAATCTGCAGGGGGTGAGATAAAAAAACTGAAACAAAGTAAAACGCCATAATTTTTAAGTTTTATTGAATGAAAGCAAAAAAATGTCGGAAATAGCATTAAATTTTAGAATAAGTTTAGATTTGTTCGAATTGGTCACCTTTGGCATGAATTATGGCCTTCAAACGGCCTATAAAACCTTCACACACTGCCCGAATGTTGTTCTGCGGTATTTTGGTCCATTCCCGGCGAAGCGCTTGCTTGAGGTGATCGACACTTTGGTATTTTTTAGTGCCAACCAACTCCAGACACAATAGTCCAACGGATTGGTATCCGGAGATTTTGGTGGAAATTGTGCGCTGGAAATGAAACGTTCTTGCACTTTTTGGAATTTCAATAGCTTATCTCGAGCTCATATTTCAATATGTGCCTAATGGAATAATGCGATATATTTAGCTCAAATAAATTATTTTGTTACGAGAGCTCTACTAAATGAACATAGTGGTGTAGGGTATCATATAGTCGGCCCCGCCCGACTTTTGTCTTTTCCTTACAAAAATGATTTTTTCGTAAAAATCCTTTTGACCCTTCCAAACTCATTCTTATAAAAAAACACAATTAGAGATCTAGATAAAAATACCATACAATACCTAGTCTATTTGTATAAAACGGTTTAAATGTCTATATTAGAAGTCGGTAAAAAATGATCGGCTTACAAAAGTCTGTTTAAAAGTCTTCGGTCTACAGAATATGACTTGAAGATTTTCGGTCTGTTGAAGACCCGGTATACAGGAGACCTTCTAAAAGTGCCTTCAAACACCAAAAAAATTTTTTTGGGTATCAATGGCAGATTTTTAGAAGGTCTCCTAAATTTGCAATCCCTTAAAATGGCTTCTATGTCCAGACAACACTATTTTTGTCCCTTAGTTCGGAAATGTAAACCTTTTTGTTTTTTTTTTACCCTCCACCTTGGAAAGGAGGGTACATTAACTTTGTCATTCCGATATTCGGAGTTTTGATGATTTTTGCCACATTTTTCCAAGGATTTGTCTAAAAATTGCTATTTGTAGGTCATAATGGATTGTAGCTCGTGTGGCGAAATATGGAAGGTATAGGTCCACTTTTCGGTATAGACCCCATACATCGGTAACTCCCGATATTCGATATTTTGATAAAAATTGGTATTTGCAGTTCATAATGGGTTCTAGCCCGGTGGCAGAACATTGAATATTTAGGTCCACGTTTTGCCTATAGCGCACATGTAACGATACCCACACATATTCGGTATTTTGATTATCCTAGTCACATTTACCCACGACATTGTTTCAAATTTGGTATTTAAGAAGATTTAATTGATGACAATCCTTGAAGTATAAACAGAAAACTGTCTGTGCAGGTTCACGTTTTTATATAGCCCGCATATAATGGTACCTCCCGATATTCGGTATTTTGAAGATTTTAGCGACATTATTCACCGGAATTGTCTCAAATTTGATATTTGAAATTCCAAAGGGCTAGTACAGCCTAAGACAGAAAATTTACTGTGCAGGTTCACGTCGTCGTATAGCCCCCATATAACGGTACCTCGCAATATTCGGTATTTTGATTATTTTATTGGTAATGTTCACCGGAATTGTTTCAAATTTGGTATTTGAAGTTCGAAAGGGATACTACGGCCTAAGACAGAAAAGTTACTGTGCAGGTCCACGTCTTTGTGTAGACCCCCCCCCCCCCCCCCCCCCCCATATAACGATATCTGCCTATATTCGGTATTTTGATTATTTTAGTTACATTATTAACCTGAATTGTTACAAATTTGGTATTTGAACTTCGTAATGGATGCTACAGCCTATGACAGAAAATTGTCTATGCTGGTCCAGGTCTTCACACAGCTCCGATATAACGGTGCCTCCCTATATACGATATTTTGATGATTTTAGCTACATTATTCACCGTTTATTTCAAGTTTTCGAATTTGAATATGGTAATGGCTTATGACAAACAATGGCTAGGTCTATGTCGTATAGACCGCAATAAAACGGCTATATTCGGTATTTTTAAAATTTAAACAGAATTTGTTAAGGATTTTATTTTTTGAAAATTTCCAAATTCGTTCCAAATGGTGGAGGGTATTCAAAGTTCGGCCCGGCCGAACTTATTGCTTTTTAACTTATTTTTTCACATGTATTTCAAAGGCGGATATATCTGTGTGGTCTTTCTTACTTACAAGATCTTTATTTGGCTTGAATAGTGTAAATTCAAATTAATTTTCCATTCCGCCCCAAAAAAAATACTT